TGTGAGACCTGATCAGATTGATTGGGATGATAACTTACCCAAGATCGCAAGTGTATATAATAGTAGTGTTCATACTGCTACAGGGCGTACGCCTAATGCACTGCATAAGGGATGGAAGCCTGGGCGTCTCATTGATGTGTTGACACGGGACGAATTTCTTAGGTTACCTCTAGAAACCCGAGAATATGTTGTATTGTTTGAAGAATTCATCAAGAAAGTAAAAGAGAATCTGAAGAAAGCTCAGACCCAAATGATTGAACAAGCTAGCAAGCATCGCCGCCCATCTACATTCAAGGAAGGTGATCTAGTCTAGGTCAGGTCCAATGAGTTTTCATTGGAAGAAGATGTGTCTCAAAAACTATTGCCTGTTTATTTGGGTCCCTGGGAAGTTCTCAAGGTGATTGGGGATTCGGAAGGACCATCTTATCGAAATGATATTCCCCCTCTCCTTAAAATGTATCCTGTCTTTCACGCGTCCATACTATTACCCTATGTAAAAAAGTTCCCAAACAAACCATTTATGATCCCGCCATCAATGGAAGGCAAGTATGAAGTAGATCGGATCATAGAACATGGATTCTTTTCTACAGGAGCATGCGGACGACCACAAAAGCAGTTCAAGGTACGTTTCAAGTCTCAATTTCCGTTTGAGGACAGATGGTTTAGTAAACGAGAATTACTTGAAACTGGTCCTGACATTGTGTCTGCTTATGAACGTGGGTTAAGGTCTTAATTATTTCTGCAATGGAACTCGAAAATGGGTCGGCAGGAATGCAATAAACCCCCGTTCCGCAGTAGTTTGGGGGCCCGAAACTGCGCCCAGACGACACAGGCCAAACACGGCCTGCGCGGGGTAGTGCGACCACACACTGCCCCTTGGAAAGTCAAGGGTCCAAGTCAATTGTCAGGTCAAAGGTACCGCGCCCAGGCCCTTGGTCGGATACACTCACTTGTTGTGCGCAGGAACCCAGACATCATCAAGGCCACAGGGAATTCTGTTTCAGGGCAATATGGGCCGCCATTTGCATTGAGATCTCGACGGCTGAGGGATGCAGCACCTGGGGTCCAGACCCTACGTCAACGCTACATAAGCGTTGACCTCTTGGCTTTGGGGGACATTTCTGTCTTGCGTCAATGTTGACTTCACGCGTTGACGACGACGCTACCGCAACGGTGCAACGCTAGTTGGACGCTGTCTCTACGCTGGCAAACGGGCGGACTACGGCGATGCTGTGCTGGCTCGGCATGGTGACTAGCTTGCAATTGTCTTATGGGCATGCTGACATGGCAGCTGCCACGTGCTGACGTGGCCGTTGCCATGTATATCACTGATGCCGACGTGGCGAGGTTACGACTGGAATTGCTGATCTGTTTCAATGACATTCGGGAGGAGATCATGAGTGTGGGGCGATAGTGGATATGTACTTGGTTATCTTGAGGTCGACATTGTTCCAGCTCGCTGATGAGAACTGATTGACGTGCCACGTGGCACATTGTGATAAAATTTCAGATGCGCTTCAGATTATTGAGGTGGTGATCGAGGAGGGAGCGTGAAGCAGACGTGGGCATTGTCTTCTATTCTCCCACTAAGTCTATTCTCTCTCCTCCTTCGTTTGTGTATGTGTTTCCCATCTCATTGTATCTGCACACGATTATGATTATTGATAATCATTAGCAGGTTGATATTTATCGGGCTTGCATTGTTGACAAGTGTCTTCACGATCTGGGTTCATTGCACTTTCTTTATCCTCGCGTGCAACGAGCCTTACACCGACAGCCTGGCTGTTACATGTTGCGCCTGCACACGAGGGCCATTTTCCAGGCCCTGCGTCCCTCAGGCTGAAAGCCTGAAAACCAGGGCCTATAGGCCCCGTGCCTGTTCAGCTGGAAAGCCCGAAAAACAGGGGCCTACAGACCCTGTGTCATTTCAGACTAAAAATGGCAGTAACCCTTTTAGCCTGAAACGAAGGGCCATTTTCGGTCTTTCATCAGACCGACCTGCCCTGAAACTCAGGCACCAAACCAGGGTTTTAGGAACAGGTTATTTTTTTGGCCTGTTCCCACGACAGCTGTAGCGCCAGACCCTGGCTCCGTTTGACATTGGCAAGAGCAGCCTCCTGGACTGCCCGCCCTGCAATTGCAGGCAGTCGGAGGCAGTCAGGAGGCAGGCTGAGGTAGTACATAGGGACTTCCCTTCACTTCACGGGCAGGCAGGAGGCAGTCAGTAGTCTTCAGGATTCGGCAGCAGCACTCTGGAGGAGCGCTGCAGGAGTAGGAGCGCTAGCAGTAGTCTTCACCGCTGGGCGCTAGTAGCGTTAGCAGTAGTCTTCAGCGCTGGGCGCTATAGGAGCTAGAGTGCTAGAGAGAGGTTGGGCAGAGGCCAGGGATACTTACCTGCAGCGCCATTGCTCCAGCTTCGTCTTCGAGGTACCTGCAGCACAGCGCCATCTTCACAGGTTAGTTCCTGGCACATGAGAGAGAGAGAGAGTTCTTCTTCCTCTTCTCATTCCACCATCTCCTTCTCACCCTCTCGCTATCTGACTTCACTGCATCAGCAGACTAAGAGAGAGAGAGAGAGAGAGCTTGGTGACATTTGGATCCAGACTCGACATGGGACTTCAGACATTTGAAGAGGGATTATTTGGGGCTTGTAACGAGACTTGGTGTTGACGACTTTCCCATCTCCCCCTTCCTCTTCTTCGTCTGATCCCCTCCTCTTCGTCTGTGTATGTCTGGACCTGGCGCCTCTTTCCTGTGTATAGCGCCAGGCCCCTTCACACCTTGTGATGAGCATGATGTATGTTTGGTCTGCGTTGAAACATTGATCGGGCTAGTCATTAGTATTCTAGCATTCTGCTTCGCTATCTTGTACTACGTGAAAGAGATCAGTCCCCGTCAGGTCAGGACTTGTATCTAAAGTCTTCCCTGCGCTATAAAGCACCATGTTTGTATGTATTGGAATGTGCATTGCTTGTTGAGATTCCACTTGCACTGCATTGTCCATTCAGTCCTTTTCATCACATTGCGGATCCTCGGTTTATATGTACATCGCCCAACTGGGCATATAACACTGGCTGATCAAGAGGCAATTTAAGGACAGGACGACGATCACAGCCAGGTGTCGGTTTCCCCACCAGAGGTTTTTTATAGACGGTCTGGTACGCGTCTCCCCCACATAGGACTGGCCAGTCCACTATCCCCTCTATGTGCAGCAAAGAGCTCGAAGGACAACACAGCATGGCCTGCGTGCACTACTCCGTGGGTTGGCATGGTGACCGTGACCCGTGCTTCATCTAGGAGGCACCGCCCTCTCCTGCCAGATTCACCACCAGGAAGAATGTCGACTCTCAAGGTAGAGCGCTTACAATTCCTGACCAAAAAGAGGACTCTCAGTCGAACTTTCTGTCTCACAATAAGAAGAGATTGAGACAGGAAGATAAGGTAAGGGAAGAACGTACCTGAAGATAGCTGCCCACAACCACAGATTTCTCACCAATTGAGCCAACGTGCATTTTGATGACCGGTCATAGCCTCGGTACCACCCACGATGCAATGCAGTGCCACCTCAGCCAAAATGCAATGTCAGCATGCTCTCATCATTCCACATACACCCTCTGTCACCACAGCTGGCAGGCTGTGCCACAGCCTTCCGGCCAGACTTCCCTCTACCCGGGAGTGGCCAACCAAGCTAGCGCCAATGTATCTTCACTGTAGCAAACTTGCCAGTGCCGGTGATCGTCGGTATCGAACCAGCTCTGATACCAAATTGCAAGGAATATGAGCGAGAGCAATAGACAGAAATCTAAATTGCAATATCACGAAGTAGCCCAGATTCATGTGCCTAGCAGAGAGCACAATGCACCAAGATACCATCCAAATAAGTGCAATACAATGCACTCAAAATGCCAATGTCGACGGCTCTCTCGCCACACCAACACAGTAGCCACTGTCACTCCTACTGATTGGCGCCCAGCGCCCAGCCTAGACTACTCAGCCTATCTAGTCTATCTAAATTCATGCAACAGGATCACATCGATGTTGAAGACCAATGTACGTGACGTCATCACCAATGCAGACCGCCAGCATACACCAGTTACGTTTCTCTCTCTTCTCCTCATCACACCCTGTCTCCCCTCTGTGTGCGCCTCCTACCCGAAGACCACCATCACCATCACTGCGCCCGCGCCCCAGCAGCCCAGCTGTGGCCCCCGTGCGCCCGCTGCCTCAGCAGCACCCCTCTCACCTCAGCGCCTGTTGCCGCGTCTGACCGGCCAGCGCTATCACAGCAGCACTCGGCAATGCAGCAGCGTGGCCGCTATGCCTCGCCAAAATGCCGTGCCTCTGGGCTCTCACTTTCTTATATGGAAAGTGTGCCCTGCTGCTGGCAGTCCTGGGCCTGGCGTGTAGGGGCCTAGTAGCTGCAAGTTGGGCTAAAGTGTCTGTCGAGGCGGTTAAAGGCAGCGGTGAGGTGCTGTGGTGGTAGATTTTTTGGCTTGGTTTGCTGGGAAAAAAAGGAGAGTTGTCATCTGATTTGTGCGTGGTCATTATACTTTTGTTTCCCCCTTTCAGCAGGCTTCAACTTTTGTCCAGTTGCGCAGAAGTCATACAGTGATGTGTGTGTCAGTCAGAGGTACACAATGGCGGCATTCCTCCTTGCATTGTTATTCTGAGAGTATACGCACCCCTTAGGCCCTGTATAATCGCAGAATTGCAAAATCAGTGGCTAGATCGAGTCCTCCTTTTAGAAGGACTTGATCTAGCTGCCGCTGATTTGCAATTCGGTGATGATAAGGCCCTAGTGTGACCATGCCCTGAGATCTTGATGTTCCATTTTGTGGTTCAACAGCTGCGATTATAAGGGCCTAGTGTGAGTATGCCCTGAGATCTTGATGTTAACTTTTATGCTGTCCATGCTTTTGCTTTGTTGGAAGTGTATGCAGAAAAAAAAAAAAAAAAAAAAAAGGAGCTGACTGCATAAATCTTATTCCTAAACTGTGCAGGAATTGGCACCTGCCCCTGTGATCCCAGTCGCTGTTGGCTTGCTTATCATCGTTTTGGCGGCAAACATGTCAAGGTGAGAGCCTCGAACACAATGGCAGCTCTTTATGCGCTAGGAAAGACGGTTCTAGCAGTACAAATGGTCATGGGTCCTCGCTCCACTTCTCACCACATGCACAAAAGACAAAAAATATGGCAGTGTATCCTCCCTTGTTCCAGCAGAAGATTCATTCTCGTCGTACACATTTGGTGAGTAGTGGACCGAGGGCCTCTGTTCCAAGGTGCAGTATCAATTGAAGCAGGCTGTGCAACAATCAATTTGTTTAAATGGAGCCACTGAGGTGCTCTGTTTAATGTGTAGTCATTCATTTTTATTTTTTTTACTTAGTCAATCTATCCTTTTTTTTTCTTTTTTTTTTTAACGAAACCTTAGGGTTCCGCCTCCTTTTCCGTTCTGGGGAGCGTCAGTCCGGTTCCTATTCCACCGGCAAGTCAGAAAAGATTACATTATGTACCCACTCACGCTCCTCCCCCTCATGGTGTGGAGGCCCGAAGGACAGCATTGATTACCTCGCGAAGGAGGGATATACCACCCTTCACCCCTGCCTGAGTTAGCCTGTTTGACTAGGATTTTGCTTTTATCCTATGGTTGGTGCTAAAAAACCCTGAGTTTTCACTAACTGTCGCTTATCTATGACCTGTCCCTGTTGATCATTTCTATACCTGAAGAGTATATTTGATATGGTTGCTGGGGTTCGTCTGAACTCTAAGTGATAATGGGAGGGGGGGTGTTTGTGGGCTTTTGGAGGTTTGCTTTAAAGGGTAGGTGATGAGGGTTTGGGGTGGGAGATTTTGGAGGCTTTGGGTCGGCCCCAAGTGGCCTTCCCTGGGAGGGATGGTAGGGGTGGGGAGAGGTTGGGGTGGAGGGGTGTGTTAGTTGGTTTGAATTTTCTCAGCAATTCATAGGTTATAGAGGAGGTGTGGATGTAGATAGTGTGTGGGAGGACTGGGTTGTGGAGGTTGCTGTTTTAATGGTGGTTGAGTAATGTGTGGTTGTTATTAAATCAGTATTGGTTGTGATATGGATGGTGGTCTTTAGGCTGGATTAGTTTGTATATTTATCCATTTTTTCAGGGTTAGTCTATCATTATTTTTGTGCCTAATTGTCCTTTTCCTAATTTGAGAGATGAATTTTTTTATTGTTTCCGCCTTTTTATCTGGGTCGGTAGGAAGTTGGTTGAGTTGCTTTTTCCAAAGAGCATGGATTTCCATGTCTATTAGTTGTTTTATCGCTATGATTGAGTTCTTTGGTGGAGTGAGACGATCATCAAGAGTGTAGTCGCATCTGTGTCTCCATATGGTCCAGAGAGTGCTTTTTTTAATGAGTGATGCGAGAAAGGCTTTGAAACCCTTGAGTGTAGGGGCTTGATCTAATTCTCTAGGAATAGTGTAGTGGGGTTGATTAAAAGTGGGGTTGATTAAAAGAGGTAGGTTTGTGATCTTGTTCCAAAGAATTTCGATTGTATGCCAGATAGATCTGGCTTTTGGGCATTCTATGAAGCAGTGGTTTAGGGTTTCTATGGATTGGGTGTTACAGACTTTGCACCAGGATTCTTGCTACAATCTGTTTTCTTGGTTGCGTCTGCGTGCCAGCCATTGGTTAACTGGCACTGCTCTGAAAACTAATAGCCATCATAGGCTGGCTATTTTGACCGGTCTTGTGGTGAAGATTGAGGTCCAGGGAGGTTTGAAGATGGTGTTAGTTAGTTGTGGTTCCTCTTTTGTCCACCTTTTGTAGATGGTGTTAGATATGGATATAGGTTTTGTGAAGAGACGGTATCCTAATTTTGGTGTGTAGTCGGTCAGTTTGATCAGGTTTGAGGTAGAGGTTAGGCTGTCTGGGGTTTTCCATGTCCATTCTAACGGGTCGATCTCTAGGTTTTGTATGCTTAGTTGGGGTTTGTAGACTCTGTTTATTTCTCCTTCCATAATTCTGATTCTTCTCAAATTTCTGATTCTAAAGGATCCTTCAATACCACACGTGTTTGTAAGTTACAAACGGGAGTCAGATGAGTTTGGCAACGAGTTGCTGCGGTGCCCTAAACCAGGTGACTCTGCTCTACTTTTTAAATTGATTTGACTTACTGGGTTTCCTGGTTCATCCAAGGTGAAGATGTCACAACAGATCCAGTTGTTGTCGCGAGTTTCATAGTTCTTAAAGGCTAGGACCTCTAGTACCGTTGACGAGTCATTTGTGGTAGCCCAATCCTTGTCCTGCCATTTTTGTTCCGATCTTAGCAGGTGTCTCCAGTGCAGGGGGATGCAATCGACAATTTGGTTAATGTTTGTTTGTAGGTGGTGTACTCCTTTTAGTTTGGTTCGTAGGTCGCTTTCTGATTTCCATTTTTTTTTTGTCTCGTCCCATAAATGTGCGATGCGCCGTATTCCTTTTTCTAGCCAGTGACCCCATTTGGAATCTGATTTTGAGAGTGTGAGGCTTTCACCTTTCTAATTTTTATCAGTGGGTTGCCAAAAAGGGTTTAGTCAATCTATCCTATTGTTATGATCCTGGCCAATTTCGAAGTACACATTCATCAGAAAGCACAATGTCGTCCAATTGCAAAAAGAAATGAATGAACGAGAGGATAGAGAGGGAAAGAAGAAGAAGAAGAAGAAAGAAAGAAATGAATGATAACGCTCTTCTTCTTCGCCAAACACTCTCCTCCTCATCTCCTTCCCTCTTATTCAATCAACAAATAATAATAATAATAATGTTGAATGGCTGAACCAGAATCGATGTTCGAATCCCTCTTCTATTGCAGGTATCACATGATGTCCACCATAGTTATGGCCGCCCTTCTTCCTCTTTCCTCCAAGGCTGAGACTATGGCGTACTACCAGGGCATCGCCGTGCTGTCCAAAGGACAACACAAAGCAGCTTATGGGTGCTCTAGCTCAGGGCGCCATGCCTGACTCTGCCTCGAAGCTTCTTGGTGTAGCTCTACCCCAACTGGGGCCTTCCTGCTGTCGTGCCCACCAAGGTGATGAAGATGGCAATCACCATAGCCAAGTAAGTACCTTAGGCGCTCCCCCTTCCTAGCCCTGGTCTTCTCGTCCCCGTGTCCTTGCTCCTTCCCCAGCAGCGCTGCTCCAAGGTAGCGTTGCTCAGCCAGCGCTGCAACCATGGTGTCGCCAAACTTGCACACCGACAATGAGGAGGAGCACCTTGCGCCTCCCGGAGATACAGCGGGCTGCTTGCCTCTTGGCGAGTGACTTCCTAGGCCGCGCGACCTCCAAGTAACCCGTGTCTCCTCCCTTTTGGAGGGAAACATCATTGCAGCCTCTGATATTGCCCGTACAGTACCCTCGTACACCTAGCCTACAACTACTGGGCCTCCGAAAAGGCCAACTTTTGTCTTCTTCTACTTGGCCTCGAGTACCCGGCACATCTACCTCCACTTGGTGTGGTACCAGCTTGCCTCAATGTCGCGGGCCTCTTTCCCCGCAACTTGAGTGTTTTCCCTGCGGAAACCCCAGTGTCACGGCCACAGTAAGCACTCAGACAGGCATGCAAACCAGCAAGCATGCACCCGCACAGACTTAGAGATCTCGGCCACATGCGGGACACTGAGTGAGGCATAAATTCCGTGAGCAAAACTCAGAAATCAGTTGTGTGTCTAAGTCCATGTTTGGCAGGTCGTTACACTAACCCTTTCTCAAGACCGAGGTCCCTTCGACCGAGTAACTCATTCTGAGTCCCTGACAATCGCATCATAAGCGAACATAGCGAAGAGGTTTCGTGAGTACTAAGTAGCAGTGAGTTTTGCAGAGATTTTTGGTACAACATTAGAGGCTATATGTCGCTGGTATGCTTTTAACAACGCGAGGTGCCCTGCGCAGCAGTTCCTTCTTTGGCATGCAATAAAGATCGTCTAACAAGTGATACACGAAGTGAATCTGATATTGTCTGTTACGTCCCTTCGCTACGTTCTTTTTTATTCTATCGATCTTGTGACCTCCATTGATTGCACGGAGAATCATATGTTTACGATAGTTGAAGGACTCAACATCACGATATATATACAACTTTGATGCATGAAAGACTGGGTACGTGTGCAGATGAGGAGGCATGACAATTATATATAAAGGACTAAAATCATCACTACCAATAGATAGGGAGAAGTTTGCGTGACACTTCCCCTTCTTTCGAAAATTCAGACATATTGACCCATACTTAACTTCCCACTTTCATAGTCGAAGGTTGTTGTTTCTTATTTGCATGGATCATGGCGTGTTGTAGCTTGGTCATTGCTGCAATGGCAACCTTGAGCAAGCGATCATACTTGGCACTGAAGCTAGGCCTGTCGTGTGTTAGACCAGCTGGCCGTTCAGGGAATAAGTAGGAGAGCGGATTTCGAATCTGCCGACCGTAATACAGCCTGTTTGGCGTTATGTCGGTGGAAGAACGGGTGGAGTTTTTGTACAACCCCTTGACTGAATACAACTCTTCATCCCACGTTTCCTGATCCAGATTGATTAAACAAGGTTTGGTAATCTCCTCAACCAAATCATTGGCTTCGGGATGTCGGCCAGATGTCATGCTCAATTTGAGGCCAGGGAATTGGGTCGTGAAGTCCTTCCATTCAGTACTTATGAAGCGCGGGTCCCGATCACTCACAAGGGTTTTCGGGATTTTGAACTGCAGAATGTACTTCTTGTGGATCTCACGGATCACAACATCAGTTGGGGTATGAGGTGGCAATGGAATCAGATTTACGAATTGGGAAAAAAGATCAACAATCACCTTCACTTGCGAATAACCATGCTTACTTACCTGTCCCATGTCCGTGAAGTCGATAGAGACGGACTCTTCGGGACCGTTGGGAATGGGAAGCAGCCCAAAGGGCTTTTGTCTGGATGGTTTGATTCGTTGATAAGTTTGACTCTCAACCACAAATTTTTCAGCAGATCATTTCATACTGCCAAGTCCAAGAAGTGTGTGCGGAGAGTCTAATGGTTGGGTACACACAAAAGGTCATTCTTTCCATAACATTGGAAAACTTGTCCTTCACATTC